ATGGATTCAGTTGCAATATTTCTCTTGAATTAAATGGATTCCACAAGTAGTGAAAGAGATCTTAACACACATTTCAATACTAAGTAGCATTTTCAGCTCTTTCTCCAAGTTAATTACTTACACACATTTTACAACACTATTAAAATGTCCTGTTATTTTTAAAGACGTACCTTTACTTTTCTATGTAAAATAAATTGGACTTGAATAACGATCTAACAGAGGTTCGTCAAATGACGACTCTTCAAATCATACACTCTCTTTGGGCATCATTGTAAAGATAGCGGGAACTTAATTCCCCCCCGAGTTGAAACCAGCTACATTACGGTATTTTGCAGTCTTGTTCCTCTCTGTAGAACCACTAGTGGAAGGAATGAGGGGGTAACTGCAACAAGACACACGCTAGCAGAACCCCCTGTATCCAAACTGGTATTAATACCAACTGGGGTAATACAACCCAATTTTAAACTTTAGAAAATATGCATTTGATTTTTTTCTTTCGTGGTCTCCAATGATTTTTGCTTTAAAAAAAAATGGAAGACCACAGAATCAAGGACAGGCTTCGTAAGCACTGAACTTGGAAAACAACATATAGCAGAGGACACATTTAATACATTCTTAAAGAAAAAAGTGACTCATGAAAGCCCTGATTGACCCAAATCAGTATGCTAGGAAGTAATAGCATTAGCAATACTGAGAATGGTAGTGTCAGTAAGATAGGAGATTCTGGGGCATTTCAGAGAAGTCTACACTATTGAGACCAAACTGAATTCAGAAATTGGCAGTCAAGCTGAGCTGGAAGTTACGGGCCTACGCACATCCAGAGGACCTACCGCCATCTTGTTGTTCCTACAGCTACCTCTCCTCCGTTATGTAATTTTCACTCTCTTAAACATGTATTAAGCATTATTTTAAAAGCAAGGAGCACAAAAGATTAACCCCCCAAATATCAACTTCAGGAGCAGCTTTCAAACCTGGAGAAAACACAGGAAAACGTTTTTCTATGTGCAGCGAACCCCGGGCTAAGACTGCGAGCACGATCACTGGCAACTGTGCCTGCCGAGCCACAGAGCCACCTCCAGACCCAAGCACACTTCATTTACCTGGGCCCATCAGAGTTAAGTCAGAAAGATGCAGCACCAGGAGCAGGCTGAGTGCCCAGGAGCTGAGAAGTAGGGTGATGAGCAAGAGAGAAAGAGCGCTTGCTTCAGAAACTCCTCTTGCTCATCAAGTACAACATCGGGCTGCCACCTGATTTCCATGGCAAGCTGATTCTTCAGGATCTAGGTGTCGGGCCATATTGCACAACCAATTCTCAAGGAGAGGAACTGATTTTTGCCAGACCGACCTGTTTAGGAAATGATCATCTAATTTGGCCCACTGTTTATAAAATAAAATTTGATAGAGAGCAGCTTTGGTTGCATTCCTTTAAACATAATTTCATTAATATACTCAGCAAACATAATCAGTTGCGAGTTGCACATCCCACGGTATCCTGGCTTCGGCTGGGATAGCCTGGGGTTAAACTAGGACACATGGGATCAACGCTCACCTATGGAACCAGTAAAAGAACCTGTATGTCTGTTAAATACAACTTGCCAAAGTATTTTAAATTAAAAGTTTAACAATTAATTGTCTTCAAAGTGGCTTTGATAAAATACTTTGTTAATTCATTCACAGACGTATGAATGCACTGACATATATTGTCTTTAGATACGAAGGTTGTTGTTATCACCTTTATGGGCTCAATTGTCATTAATCCAAAAGTGTCCTAATGAAAAACTCGGGTAACAACAACAACAACAAGGTTTTATAAACAATTCTAAAAATCCTCTGTATAAGCCAGAGCTTAGGAACAGAACTCCAATCTTTAATAATATTTTAATAATAATAATAACTGGTATGAGGACTGGAAAATTAGTCTTACTCATATTCATTTGGGAATACATGAACTTCAAAACTGTATATAGCGCCATTGCGTAATAAATCACAATACAGCTGGCTAGCATTGCTGAAGGTCTAATGCAGACACTATGAGTTAACATGGCCTGATCAACACTGCAGCTTTTACTGATTACCGTGTTTCCTAAAAATAATTTACTTTTAAAAATAAAAGAGTTCCCACAGCTTGTATCTAGAATAAATAAATAACACAGTAGCATGTTCGGTATATTTGTACTTAAAGATATATCTATCTTCAAAGAATAAAAAAGCCCAGCAGGCAAGGAGACCTGCTGGATCACTTACAACTGATTTCTTATATTAAAATGGAATGGGCAGTGGGAGAGGAGAAGGTAAACTAATTACATACAAGAGTGAAGTAAACTTAAACCCACATAATAAGGGAACTCAGTGTGTTCATTCAAGGCAATACATGACTTCCCTCACAAGCTTGTCTTTTATTAGAACAAAGGAAGTAGTTTTGGCACTTCAGATGCTGCGGGTGATGGAGTTTGTGCATATATGTTGTGTAGATCTTTCCCTTTACTAGCATGACGTGGAAGACTTAAAAACAAGGCTCCAAAAGGCTCTAGAAATAAATGACATTTTTGTCTAGGAAATGATAAAGCAGTAACCTTGTTTACTAGAAAATATATGTAGGTGCTTCGCAGCTACCTGCCATTAAAATGCAAATATCTTCAAGCAGTTAAATGATCTGATCCCTAATGCTACTACAGAATAAAGATAAAACAGCTGTCTAATCTAGGTTTATACATCTCAGTGCATCCTTTGCAATTAATACTTTAATGCACACAAACAAGAAACTTATTAAAGCTTATAGAAAAAATGTTTTGCCTAATGCCTTCTTTCTCATGCAGGTATGTGTGCTGTACACGTAACAAAGATCTGTAAAAATTACTGGAGAATGCTCCACTGTGCTATAGCAGAAAATATTAGAGAAGGCAGCTGAAGCTACCGTTCCCAGACCAGATCTTGCTGTGCTTTCTCAGCCTTAAATGCTCTTTTGGAATCTGCAGGCATTCAGCCTGAGAAAATCAAACAGGAGCAGGTCTGTCATGTCCATTCCTAACTCTGTTACTCCAATGGATGCAGAAATTTCCGTGTTTTGTCTTGGTAACTGGCCCGTTCGAATCATCTAGTGGTGCTGAAGGCCGCCTTTTAGGCAGTGAAGTTGTTCAAAAAATCAATCATGCATCCACAATCTTTTAATGCTGCTAGAGATGTACCTCATTTTCGGCTGTACCAGATAGGAGATGAATTACTTTTCTCATTGTTGACATCAAGAAGATAACCAGACTCAACGGTGGTGGAAAATACCAGTGATCTTTGCTAACTGGTCCAGAAAATAGAAGAAACCGTAATATTCAGGAAATTCATTTAGTGCTACATGCTTTTAAAGCCTACTTTTAGCAGGCTCTGGGAAGAAAATAAGCAAATATAAAAGTTAATGATCCTTATTTTTGAAAAAATAGTTTTGACATGAACCTGCATCAGAAACACGCATGTTCAGCATAGTTCTGTCAATTTTAGAAAACACATGCAGTGGGGAGTTTCAGGAGTCTCTGCTTAAAGACATTAGTGGGTCGTACAAAACAGTCGATTATGGTCAATTTTTCAATCACACTGGATCTAAGGCTTCACTGATCATGTAAGACATAAGGTCCAATCACATCAATTTATCAATTTAAAGAAACTGAAGACTCAGTAGGTGAACAGGAGTGATTTTTAGGAAGTAAGGCAGCAATATCTCCAAAGATTTATCATAGTTCTTTGAATCAAAAATGTCAGCTCTACGACTTTACTGTGAGCAGATGTTTTTGTGATGCTCCCATTTTTATTGCAAACTAATTCTGACCAATATGTTATTTTAAATGTTCGTCATTTGAGAGTATTTAACCCTGCCCTCTTCCCTCAGATTTCATTACTGAAACCTAAACTGATCTTCTGGAGAGTTCTTGTGCGATGCTGCAATTTTCAGACATTCAAAGGTGGATTTGGAAAGATGGAACGTATAGGTAGGTACTGAGATGTACTGGAATGTAGGTACTCTACATACTGGGTAAGAAGAGTGTATTGTTTTCCATTTAAAAAGGCAAAATACTAAAAAAATGGGAGAAAAAAATATTACGTATCTATACACTAATGTTCCGTTTTGGGACTACTAGCCGTATTCAGGTAAACGAGAGGAAAAAAGAAAAAGACTATTCTCAAGCTCTAACCATACCAACTGTTCTTAAGTTCGTTCATTTTCCTGTTTCTGTTTCCCCTTATCCCGTCGTAGTTCATCACTGCTGACCACAACAAAAATGTCAGTACTGGCTAAACTAAAGAAATCATTTTGCTGCAACATTCATGCCAGGTCTAAAAATAATTTCAAACTGGAAAGTATTTTGTCACTGCTGCAATAGTTTTGAGATATTTGGCACTCCCAATAACTTACATTTGGTTTTTCTGAAAAAGCCATTCTGGAAATTAGAATAAATCCTTTTATTCTAACTTTAAATGTAAATTGAGCTTCCAGCAAACAAATAACTGTAGCTGACTTTCTGGCTTCTAGTGCTTTGTAATTTTCAGATTTTTCATTTCTAGGTTTTTTTTTCAATTGATTGCAACATGCTCAAGTCGACTTTCCAGTCAATTCACCCAAATTCCAACAGGAATTGGTTTATAAATTGGTTCCAACTGGAACTGGTCATTTGGAATTTCCAGCACAGGAAATTATTTTATAAGTGTCTTGATAAGTACCCTAAATTACAAACGGATGTGTCTAATATCTAACGACAAGAAAAACTATGGCTATAAATGCAAATGCTCTACTAAAAAAAGAAAATCCAAAAACCAACCTATGTGATCGGGCATTAACGTAAGGGCATGGTAACTTTTTTTTGCCCCCTACTTAACATCAAATGACAGCAGAGTGCAACTTCAGTATAACCGCGCTACATCTGCCAAATTAAGATGATTTTTTCTTTTTTTTAATTAGCTATGTTATGGCAAGTTATCAACTGATGAATACTAATTTTTTCCCCAGGTTCTTGAACTCAAAGCCTATGTCGTGAATCATGGCTATATCCTCCAGGGGATCCTCGGTTCCTATGGGGTTTGTAAGTGTCCTGGTATGAGTCAGAGTATTCTTCTTCCACTAGAGGATAATGATCTCGGCTGTGTTGGGAACTGGAAGACAAGCGGTTCCTGCTCTTCCGTGCCCTTTCATTGTGATAATTTTCATCTGAGGTCATTAGACTTCGTCGTTCAATTGGAGAGTTCTCTGTAGAATGGCTGCTGTGCCTCATACGCTGGCTCTACGAGTGCCAAAGAATCCAAGCATTAATACAGACAAAGAGTATTTCACATTTTTTAGCTTGTTCTGAGACTTAGTTCTGAGGTCTTTCAGAATCCATCCACTTTTGTGTTACTCATTTTATATTAAAGTCTGTATGCTACAGGAATGGGCTACAAGAATAGTCTGGTTCCTAGAGCTGAAAGCAGACCAAACGCGGTATTACAACATGTGCCTCATGGAAGTCACCTTGTTAAATATTACAGGCCGTTTAGCATGAAAAGTGAGCTGATGTATTCAGCATTTATCACTTTTCTCTGATCATGAACATAACATTCATGCTTCTATTCTGCTTAGAAAATTTTGAGCATTGATTTATGTGGGTTTAGAAAACATCTGAAGATGGGGTTTTTTTGGGTTTTTTTGTTTAAAAGGTGCAGCTCTGAGCCCAATTTAAAAGCCTTCACATGACCAAACAAACGATGGACTGCTAACCCGGCAGCTAAGGGGTGGCTAAAATTATTAGATATTCACAAATTCTTTCAACTAAAACATAAGAAATATTTTAGATATGTTGACAAAAATCCTTTTCTAAGACAATTTATTAATTCTAAGTTTTAGCCTTTGCTATCCTCACGTTCCCATAACGATAATGTGCTGCCTTTGTCGCATGAACAAAACTAGTTTGTATTTTTCGCCAGTAAACTGGCACAATGAAGAAATAGCCAAAAAAAAATATTTTGTTTGCTGTCCTCACCCACTAAGCCTCTCAAGAGTATAGCCATCCATACTCCCGGAACAAACTCGGTCAATAATTTCCTTTCTCTAGATTACAGCCCCGATGCCATCCTTCTGATCCTGCAATTGCCAAGAGAACGCTGCCGCAATGGTTGCGCTCCTGTGGCCTCGGGTTCATCGTCTGCTCCTCTCGGTTCTGAAATTCTGGCTGATGCTCTCTGTGCTGCAAAACCTTCCCCCCCCCCCCCCCGTGGCTACGCCCTCTCTGGATGGCAACTGTTTAGCTGCATAATTTATAACAAAAGGCTTGTCTGCCTGGGGAAGTAGCTGTGCAGCAGGGTATACGTTTACAGCACAGCAGATAGGATGTCGCATCTCTTCCTGTGGATCGATGCTACCAAGGTTACCCACCGAGAGATCCCACAGAAATGAGCTGGCACGGAAACGGTGCCCTGCTGCAAATTCACACACTCAGCTACTGGCTAGCAACTTCTACCACGTTATCCCCAAGTTTTCCTTATAGCATCATGTTTTAGTGGTGATTACATGTCAAAGTCCACGTCTTTTCTTCACAAATGATATTTCTCATATTTATTTGACCTAGCCATGTGATTTTGATACACAATCACCTAATCGATTGAAACTTCAACTTTCTGTGCTCACCCCCTCTATCTTCCCTGTAGCAATTTACCTCTCTGGCTGCAACCGGCTCCTTTCTAGAAACCTTCCTGCTTCCCTGCCGCGATTGCGCGGTTGTTCCGACCCCGCTGTTCAACCTCCCGAGAGGCATAAGCGTGGCACAAAACCAGTGTGGTTACACGCTGGTCTTACGCCCCAAGTAACTTTTGATCTTGCAGCACACATGGAATGATAAACTGCATTGCGTTTTCTGCACTAATGGACTTAAATTGCAAATCCCCTGCAGCCTAAGAAACAGACATCCCCAAAACTTGAACTACAGGATTTAAGTCCATTCGCTGAAATTAGACTGAACTGTGTAGGTTTAGCGCTAACCAGGGATTAGCCACAAAGGCAAACGCCTGACCCCTGGGAGTTAGCAGTGACAAAATTTACTTTTCTTGTTGAGGACTGCAAACACACAGAGCTCAACACCGACATCTTCCCCTTTTAGGCAAGGTCATGCCCGCGGACCAAACGCCCACCGGCTGTGGCAGGTGCCCCCCGGTGGTACACTGTCATGTGTACCCTCTCTTTGCCTCTGACTCTTCTGTGTCTGTGCCATTTAACTTTGTCCTGACGGCCTTTGTGAAGCCCGAAGACTGAAGTTAAATCAGAAGTTTCAATTCCCAGTAAACTAAAGTCCATGCCACGATCAAGTAAAAATGGGATACTCCCAAGTCCTGATTAGGTGACGTACGTACGGATTGTCCCAGCAAATCTGTGTCCTTCTCAGCTGTGACTGTTACAGGAGGCTCTGGGCTTTTGGCATTCAGTTCCCCAAGGTATTGGGCAAGAAGGAGCCACGAGGTCATAAGAAGTATAAATTCTTAATATACCATAAGCTCCTAAGCTAGCTTAATTCCTAGGATTCACCTGAGTGCTTTATCATTACCATACCCCATCATTACAGTTAAAACTGATGCAAATCCTTCCGAAGGCTTGAATTGGAGTAAAACCTCTAGGTGGGTAAGTGCTTCAGGTGATGGAAGCCTTTACTGCGAGACAACCACGTAAACCACCAGAAATCTTTAAATGGGCCTGGATGCTTGAGTGGCACTGACAGCCAAATCCTGCCATCTCTAGCCGGGCATCCTTCGCTCCGGGAGAAATTTACCCCTCTGCAGAGAACTAGCACCATTCAAGTCCCACCTAAGCCTTCACAATTAGGGTGAAGTGGGGATTAAGTGATGCATACCTTCAGCCAGCCCACTGCACAGGGGTGATTTTCATCTTCAGTGTGAGTTTTCCCTAAGTAAATGGAGCAACATTTCACAGTTACTGCTGGTGTCCATTGATCAGAGAGAAATAAATGCCTGAAAAAAATTCTGTGGATACACCCAGTTTTCAAAATGAAACTGAAGAGGTGAACGTTCTGCAGATGGTATTTTATTGTCATGAAAGGATGGAAAACTGAAATCTTAAGGCAAGTGAAAATGGAAACAACACTTTACATGTGCATGTTATTAGGAAGAGAACAGTGCTTGTGCATTCAGCCAGTCAGGAAACAGTGACTTAGTGGTCCTAATAAAATCAAGCACAGCGTTAGAAATGTGAGTATCGAGGATCATGCACCTTCGGTGAAGTGCAGTTCACTCACAGAAAAAACAGCTTTATGTTAATTGAAAACACTCAACAACGCATCATTCCCTTCACAATTGTCACCTGCTTCCAGATACTCTACAAGCAGAACAGAGGTTAAATTTGTCAGGTGAATTATTCATTAAATGTAACTTGCTCAACTCTACTTCTGACAGACATTAGAGAGTGTACGCTCCTAGAAAGTCGCACACATACAGAACTCCTGCTG